GGCCTTCTTTTTCTTGAAAGTTGTAGGCTCCTCTTCTGTCTCCTGGCTGTGCCTTTTCCCCTTCCCAAAGAAACTTTCCAAAACCGTTTTTAAAATGTTGTACTCATTTTGCTAGCTCCTGGGTTTCATTTTAGCGGTAACCTATCACGTGACCGAGAAGCGCGCCTTGGCCTGTAGACGGATGTAACAGAGGATCTGGTAATTTTTCAAAATAAAATAACATTCAGAGTCCGAATTAAATAAAACGGATGTAATGTAAGTTATTTATTCTTTCAAATGACCCACGGAAACAGCAAAACGAGATATTCCTACTATGCTGGCAGAACTGAGGGCTCGTGATGTATGCGCGAGTCTTTCGCAATGCAGCGAACTCTCACTTATTTGTGGGTCAGCATGCGCGAAATTCGCCACCGGACTGCCTGTGAATATTCTCATTCATCCACCGCGAATGGTTTCATTCTTTTGGAATGCAAAACAAGACTCAATCGTCCCATGATGAGACCATCAATGAAGAGTACCTTGGTCTAAAAGTAAAAAAATAAAATTTAAAAATAGCTGGCTACCTGTGGTATCTATAGGCATTTACAAACCTTTTGGGCTGGGCATCAGCTACTATATTCACTGCCGTCGTAATAATAGTAGCCTACAAGTTGCAAATGTGTGTCTTTTACCCCCACAAAAAGCAGCAGCCTGGCTCTTAGTAGTTCAAGTGCTTCTGATGGTGAAAATCAAGCAATTTTCAGCTTCATCAGCTAAAAGCAAAGTGACAGTGGCTTAATTGGGCTAATTATCTCTAATGAATATGATGGCACACAGCGTATCTGGAAGTGTCTGAATGAAAGGAGGAGTAATAGCAGATATTCAAGACCGCGATGAACATGACCCGGCTATTTAACGAAGAGGAAATGTCACTCGTGGCATGGACATCATTTGGTCCAAAACGGGCACCCCACCCTATGATACCACAAGTGCTTATTTATTTTCGAGCGGCTCACCGCGCGACGCGTGTGACATCCGTCACCACATCGTAATTGTCAGCGACAGACGGGCAAAGCCGTTGCCGGAGGATAATTGTGTCAGCGAGGCAGCGCTACCTGCGTTTCCGACATGCTCGACTGAATGCTATAATTACTTTTATCACAAGCCACTCAGCCCTGGAGAGCTTTTGCTTCTCAACCACTTTGCCTTTTCAGACACACGCGCGCACAAGCGCACAAAAGACACGTGTAAATGCCCAAAAAAAAAAAAAAAGGGTATTGAGTGGAAGTTCTGAAGTCGAGCACAATCTATATGCTGTTATTTCACAACAAATGGCAACAGTGCAAAGTGAATTGAAGAACAAAATGCCATTCCGGAATCCGTTCCAACCTCCCTACAAAAAAATAAACGCAAACACTGGAAGTTGGAAAAAAAAAACAAAAAAACCCCACATATACAATGGTACCTCTACTTACAAATTCTCTCTCTGTCTCTCTCGATACAGTACACATTTTCATACCTGTCAACTTTTCGGAGCGCCAACCTGTATAAACTACCAAAAAAATCCTTATAAAGAGCAAAAAATCCTTATAACATACCAAAGCATTTATATGTCAAAATAACGGCAGAAAAAACCCCACGAAATATGAATGATATATTTGTTTCCTTGTAGAACTTTCTTGTACACTACCGAAGTATGCAATGAATACTCTGCTGTTTTCAACTAGGACCCACGTGATTTATTGGAAAGTTACCGGAAATGAAAGCATTCGAGTAGACTAGCACCATTCTGGGCAAAAGCAAACGGAACTACCTGTTAGGGGGAAAAAAACGGAAATTTTCAGAATCCGTATGATTTGTGCGAGGTGGCCATATACGTAAGATTCACCACAAAATCCGTATGAACTCTGGCCAAACCGTATGAGTTGACAGGTATGCATTTTTTTTTTCAAATTGTATGTATAACGTGGTGCAAATTGTATGCAATCGCCCTATTGATTGCATTTCCACCAACCCAACCAAAATGGCCTGATTAAAAATTTTGCATAGCAACCATCGCTAAGCACAGCAGGCTGACACCTGTTGAAGTGTTGATTCAGCGTCCATCCATCCATCCATCCATCCATCCATCCGTTTCCCAATCCGCTTAACCTCACCAGCCTCACGGGCATGCTGGAGCCTATCCCAGCCGTCATCGGGGCAGTAGGTGGGGTGTACACCCTGAACTGGTTGCGTCACAGAAGGATAACACGTTAGCCGTGTTTCATCATAAGCCGCACACTCTCCCTCCTGCCAGCGCAGCACGCTACCATACGCTGCTGTGTTTTCCGACGTCGCCTTATCTTTTTCTCGGTCTAATCTGACGTTTGCATCTCACACGCGACGTCGACACTCAGTGTGTTTATTTGGCTGTTTAAGCTGGACTTCAGTGGTCAAAGGGCGATAATTGCGGAAACAGCGAGGAGCTCGCTTAGTCTCTGGTCGGAAATAACTTTTTTTTTCCAACTTTGTGTTGAGTGCTTGAATGTGTGAGCTGCTTCCAAGCAAGGGATCTCAGACTTTTCGGATCCAGGGATCCTCTTCCAGGGAAAATGTATTCCCATGGGTATCAAACTCAAGGCCCGGGGGCCAGATCTGACCTGCAAATTGATTTTATGTGGCCCACAAAGGCAACTCCTGTGTGTCAACTTCATGTTCCTTACAAAATACTTGAATTTTTTTTTTTACTGGCTTCAAAACGAGCTCTCCATCAGTTTGTTGTGTGTATGTGATCATGTAAGGCGAGTATACATTTCGATGGATTCACAGTCACGAGGGCCCTCCCATTGCCTAACCATTGCCATGATGTGGCCCGCCACAAAAATGAATTTGACAACCCTGATTTATTCCAAGAATCCACTCATGCTGACAGTTAAGCATGAATATAATGTTCACCCCTAAATTCCTATGGAAAGATTTTTACCTGGATGGATGTTTGTATCCGTATTATACTCTTAATAATTTATATCTGACAGAACACAGTGTTGCTCACGACACTGGCAAATGTGAATTTAAAAAAAAAAAGATATATCAAATGAGGCTTTGAAATCCTGAAAAATAAAGCCGTTCTTTCAGCTCTCAAGCGCCGTGGCCATGTCTGATGAATGTTTCAACTGACAATCAAATAGCACTGCTGCAACCTGGAAAAATCGATGCAACTTTCTTATGCCTACACATTACCAACTCCTATGGCTGGAACATCTCCCGCCAAGCCGGCGCAGGGTTTTTCCATGCTGTGCAACGAGGCGCTCTAAAGCAGCCACGTCGGCTTGAAGCCCTGGTCCTCACACTGGCTGTTATACGATACGAAGCGAGATCACTTTCAAAACAGATGCAACTGTAACAAAGCGCTTTGTAGAACATTTAACAGAAAATAAGAATCGTACAACCGAAGACAAAACAAAAAACATCGACAACAATACAGTCGTAACAACTACCATATTGCTACGTACGTCTTCTTGTTTTAAGCGGATGTGGATGAGAATCAAAATCTCTTTTCATCAGCAGTTCAAAGACATCATTTTGTCATATGACCCCCCCCACCCCCAAGTTAAGCGCAAAGTCCTCAGTTTGAGGACCGCCGCTTTAAAGATGATCCATCATGCGCCACAAGTTGCATTATGCATGTCCAGCGGCGCCCCCTAAGTGTGCATTGTCGCAAATGTTCTCCTCCCTCCTGGCTGGCTTTGTGCTTCTGGTAAACATGATTTGGCAAGCTGAGCTCTCGCGAAGAGCCGCCGTCGACGCTTAATGACCTGTCTCCGAGGCCCAAATTTTTTTATTTTTTATTTTTTTTGAAACATGAGAAAGTGCCGCTGCCGCAACGGGGGAACCTGGCTCCCGCAATTCATCTTCCATTTTAATTGGGAACATTTTGTTTTGCTCTCTCTCTCTCTCTCTCGCACCCTCTCACACCCTCTACGGTAATAAACCAAGGCTTCTGGAGCCATTTTTCAGAAACTCATTAATGCACAAGGCGCAGTATGAGGCTAGCAGGTGTAAAGCCAGCAGCAAGAAAACCACAACATGGAGTGGAAATGAATTACTTCCTCTTTGTCTTTTTATCCATCATCTATCTAGGCATAGCAATATAACGGGCAGGCTAGTCTTTTTTTTTTTTTTTTGTGGCCGCCTTACCTTCTTACCACACATCAACTCTGCTTCCATGCCAGAGATCACACAAGCTGGCCTTTAACGGATGGCCGGCGTTTATCAGAGCACCCGCAGCATGGGTATTTGACGGAGAAGTCGTCAGAGATTCCCGAAAACCAAACACCTCATTATCAGTAAAGGGGCAGCCTCCCACCCGTTGTCCGCCCCTTATCGCCTTTGGCCAGAGCGAGCCTTATTTGTTGTCATTTTTAACATTCATCGTATGATGCGCGGCCAGCTCTTTCTTTCGATGACTCACTGAGCCGCTGGAGGATAATTTCAAATTTCAAGGTAGTATTATCCCGCCGCAAGATCGGCTGGTGACCAAACGACAAAAAAAAAAAAAAAAAAGTGTTGTGTATTTTAACGAGGTAAAATAGCACTCCATCATGTCATTTCTAATAAGATATAGTTATCATCTAAGAAGACGAGGCAGAGAAGGACCCCAAATCCACCTGAGCTCCAGTGAGATTTGCAGTCGCCACAGAGCGGAAACAATATATGCCCGTGAGTCATGTTTTATGCACTACTTCTACGTGTTGATGCTCGACTGCAAAACACAATGTCACCCTCCACCATATTTCGCAATTGGGATGAGGTTTTGATGGGTGTGTGCTTTTTTTTTTTTTTTTTTTTAAATGTGCTGTGAGATTGTCTAATGTGCCGTGGTGCAATTTTGGTGGGGAAACGCCGACTTGGATGAGATCGGATCACATTTTGCGAGCAATTGCTGCAGAAATCCAGGTCATGATAAAGGGTTGACATCACTCCCTTTTATGGATCTAAAAATATTGGTAGTTCAAAGATATCAAAAGAAAATGTACAAAGCCTTGAGGGAGATTTATTTTTAATCAAGTCTCACCACTATTATAAATCCACTCGATCTCTGGTAGGCATGTCAGATGACAAAGAATTCCAACTAGCCAAAAAGAGCAAATTTGCCTTCACGTGTTCATCAGTTTTTAATATTAGCGCCCCCTCCTTCTTTTCACCAAAATCTGCCGACAAACAAGTGACTCCTCACGATGTGGTCGGGTAAAAAAAGACAACATCGTTCAACAGGGTGACACCGAAAAAGCAGTGATGAGGAGAGTAAAAACACTTGAAAAAAATACAGTCAATCAATAAACAATATAGACACATTCGTGAAGCTCATGAGGAGCTCCCACTTTTCAAACATTCCCCTTCTCAAATATGTCATAAATAGTTCATAATTAAGAACACACTGATATTATTTGAACATTGCTCACCCTGAATCACCGGTGTCATCACTTTAGTTGGGAGAAGTGCGTTTATTGTTTTTAGATTTTACTAGAAAAGTGACCAACATTGCGACGCGGTCAGCGAATGTCTTGGTGAAGAAGCATGTGGCTCATTGCCTTTTGTTAGTTTGGTATGCCCTGTTCCACAGAATTGGAAACAATTGTACGTTGTGTTTAGTCTAAGTGGGACAGCAGCCCCCTCTTGCAAATTGTGTCACGGAACTATGTTGACATTTCCATGAAGACTTTGATCTTGATATGTCTGATTGGAGCTGTGTTTAGCCTGGGTTGTTAGCGGAAATTCTGGGATCATAGTTTGTGGGATATTTCAGTTTAAAACATGACTAAAACGATCAGAAACCATTGGAGGGGGCAATTTTCATTTTCCCTGGCCCCAATCTTCAGATTAAGTAGGGAGCTGCCATCACACTGTTAATTAACCCTTTCATGCACCCTGTCACCGGATAACACGATAAGCTGTGCACTGTAGTAACCGCTGTCCCTGAAAGGGTTTAAATGCTGAGCCACCTCGTAATTACACACTTATAATTGTTGACAGTTACTTAGAACAGGGCAATATTCACTTAAAAAAAAAAGATTGGTTCCAAGTTAAGGAAGCATTTTATCATTTTTATGTGACTATTTTGTGTGAACGTCTTTTTTTAAAAAACAAAAATAGCTTTCAACGATAATAACTTTGGAATGGATTCAGTGTATTGCCACTGTTTCCTACGGTGCAAATTGTGTTTGCGCTCGAAGTTGCCACTGTAACACAAATTTGCGTTTTCTGCTTGGAAAGCCGTTTGAACTCTGAAAGTGCTGCTACCCGGGTGTGAACTTTCACGCTGAACGTACTGTAGATGAACAGGACAATGGCACCACAGATGGAGCAGTGATAGTACTTAATGCTAGATCTATGTACAAGGCGTAGTAGTCTATATAAAACACTGTGCAACGTGTTGGATAATTTACTTCGACTTAGTCGGGTCTTGTAGAAAAATTACAATTTGGTCTCCCTGAAGGAACTTTCCAATGAAAGCCATGTGACCCAACCCTGACCACGACACACACAAATGAGAATGCAAATGGTTGTTCGTCTATACAGTATGTGCACTCTGATTGGCTGGCGACCAAAGTCAGCTGTTGATAGGCTCCATCTCACCCGCAACCCTAGCGGGACCCGCGTTTTCAAAAATGGATGGATGCTTGTCTGTCTATAAGCCAGTGGCCTGTCCGTGTCCGCCTCCTTTACTTGTGCAAGAAAAACTGGCCTTCATTCTCACCGTCCTTCTCCAGATAGTCTCACAAATAGTCATCCAAAGTGCTGTTTCCAATGTTCAGAAGATGCCGTACTCTCGCAGAGACCTGAGCAGCACCGTGTCCTTAATGTCGCTGAACACCTTGCGGATGTTGTCCGTGTCTGTGGCGCAGGTGTGATGCAGGTAGAGGCTTTTTCCTTCCTCCTTACTATCTGGGTTGCTGGTCTGCTGCCGGTATAGCTTTTGGATGTATTTTTTGGCCTCCTCCGCGTCCTGTCTCCGACCTGAAGAGCACAGAGAAGGGGGTTTTGTTGCATCCAAAAACACATGGAAATGGATTGGACGTAAAATGAGATCAAACATACTCTTTATGTATAATAACTCTTTCAACACCGTTCATGGCGATTGCTGTGAACGGGGATCCTAACAAGGAGCGCCATCGACATCAGTTACCATCAGATAGATTTTTTTTTTTTTAGGGGAAAAAAAGTCTTGGAGAGATTTCCGATCCGCTTTATCCTCACAAGGGTCGCGGAGGGTGCTGGAGGATGTCTTCGGGGCAGTAGGTGGGGGACACCCTGAACCGGTTGCCAGCCAATCGCAGGGCACATAGAGACGAACAACCATCGGCGCTCACACTCACACCTAGGGACAATTTCAAGTGTTCAATCAGCCTGCCATTCATGTTTTTGCAATGTGGGAGGAAACCGGAGTAGTAGTATGTCAGGTGGACATGCTAACCAGTCGCAGGAAATAATGCTATGGCTTGACTAAATGAAGCTACTCTCACCCTTCAACTTTGTTCCTTGACCTCAAGATGGCGCCAGATAAGCAAATACCCCTTCCCAAAAAAAAGAATGCCCAACTGCGAATATGTGTGGGTTCACCGTGTAAGAGGTGAAGTTAATATTATGAACTTCTTTATACGTTGTAATGCAAATAATCTTTTAACACCACTTCCAGTTCTTTAACAAGCAGTTGAACAGTACAATTGACAAACAAGTGAATCGGGCGAATGCATTTCCTGACTGAGTTAAAATGATTTTAACAATCTCTACAGCATGCAGTTCACATTTGATTTGATGAGACCAAGACGACACCTAACAACTGATCAGCAGTACTTCACCATTGCGAGGCTTCAGACAGGAAATTTTCAGGGGGGAAGTGGGCACTGAGCTTCGAGTGTCACAAAGTGTCATCAGCGGTTGCAACAAAGATACAGAGAGACGGAAAGAGTCTTAGAAAGGCATAGAAGTTGACATCCTTGCAATGCTGGCCATTTGTGTGGGCATCATTTGTTTTCTCTTTTTTTTTCCCCCTTGTTGTTTGAACCATTTTACCTTTGCTGATGTACTTTGTTGATGCAAATGTCATGAAACTGCCAATGGGTGGGAATTTTGGTCTGATTTGATCATTTCCAACATCGGCCCTTTATATCTATTGATAATATACTGTTTACGTCAAATTACACATTCTGGTTTTTAATGGAAGTCTGATCATCTGATCATATGTAGCTGAGATTCTCCCATACCGTGTTAAATCTTTTTTTTTTTTTTTAAATCATCGATCCATCCATTTTCAACATCGCTTAACCTGAACAGGGCCATGGGTTAAAATAAAATTAAAATAAATAAAAACCAATGACTCAATCATTTTATGTGTTAATTGGACATACAACGGTCACAAACCCTCCCTACAGACACAACACACGTTATGGGATTTGGGGCGGGGGGGGTCGATCCGTGGTTGCCATGGGTGACAGGAGGACGAGGGGCTGATGCTGGAAGTGGAAGATGGGAAGTGTCAAGGCAGTGCTCTGCGTGAAAACGGTTACACCGGCAGCAGAGGCCATATGTGAAATACATGTATGCAATAAAAGTTAAAAAAAAAAAATCACCTGCAGGAAATGAGTCATGTGAAGGCAAATTATAGAATGGACAAAAGAGCCCCTAATTATGGTTCACTTTGGTGATGAAGAAAAGGAATGAAGCAGGGGGGGGAGTGGCGGAAGCCACTTTGCAAATGACTTTTGTGACTGGGTACATGAGTCACACAATGAAGAGGGAAAAAAAATTGGATGGACAACCTGTAATCCGGCGCCATTTGTCATTTATCAACCCAAATTGAAATAAAGTGCACAAGATCGGGGATTCTCGATTAAAAGTGAGAGAAGTTCTGTTCAAGAAAATGTCCTCAAAGTGAGGTCATAATTTACAGGATCGCACACACGGACATACTTTTATACTACATTTGATTTTTAAAATGGACACATTGGCAAACTCATTCAAAGATGAGAGAGAGAATAGAATAGTTCAAAAATATGTTTTTTAAAAAAAGTTAATCATAAAATCATAATTTGTTGTTACTTTTAGATTGTATTAGTTAAAAATCTGCAAAACACGGAGACCGCAAAAAGTGAATCGCAATATGGCGAGGGATGACTGTGCATCTAGCCTTTGTTGACAGTTTCGTTGAGTTGGTGGTGTGCCATGTGATTTCCCAATGTAAAATATGCGCTTTGGCTCACTCGTGGTTGAGAAACACTGCGGTTAAAAAGAAAATTGGCATTTAATTGTCGGCCTGAGCAAACTGGGCTTACCCGTGAAACCGGGGAAGTATTTCTTCAGGTCAGAGGTTAGTATTTTGTCAGCCAGGATGTCAGTTTTGTTGAGGAAGAGTATGATGGAGGTGTTGTGGAACCACGGTGAATGGATGGTGGTGTAGAACAAAGCCAGGCTCTCCTCCATGCGGTTCTGAGACACACACACACACACACACACACACACACACACACACACACGCACAGACACACTGTCAGTGCAAGAGAAATGAGAGCGAGTGTATGGGTAGGGGATATGCGGGGAGGGAGGTTCATAAGCCACTTGAAATACGACCCGTTTTGACAGCATAAAAAAAATACCCGAAATATCTTTTTTTTTCTTTTTCATCTGTATTTAAAGTGACCGGACATATACACCCCGCCCCCCCCCAAAAAAGATGAATTTTCAAAATACCATTCTTTAGCAAAGGTGATACAAAGTTTGTCGATACAGAGGCTGTATGGGGTAAAATTTGTGTGTGCGTGTGTGTTTTAATGGGACAATGGAAATTGTGTACAGTTTAGTGTAATTTGAAACAGCGCAATGAACTGTGTATTTTAACCACGTTTGCATGGGAAATGAAATGTGAGAGCGCAATGGACGCCTTCGTGTCCAAAAGGTTTTCTTGTGTTCGAGTGACATCTGCTGGCAGATAAGCAAAGTGATACTGAGAGGAACGTGAGGTGGGGTCGGAGGTGCGAGGTTGTTATAGTTCATGAACACTACCGAAATAACTAAAACGAAAATAAAATGTAAAAAAATTCCATCAATGAAATTAAAAAAAAAACGAGTGCGCTTCTTACAAAAGGAAAACTAACTAAAATTACATTTAGCAATTTTAACACAAACTAAAACCAACTGTAAGATAGCAGAGTTGTGTTTTGTTTTAGTTTTCGTCAATTTGTTTTATCGAGGGTTCATTTTCGATGTATTTATGTCAGTATTACTATTTGGCCATACAGAAGAAAGAAGGTCGTTTAGGGAATTTTTTTTTTTTTTACTTTACTACATAATCATCTCCAGTACACCCGACACTGTATGTGCAAAATTGGTTAAGATCTTCAAAATTGGTATTCTTGTATCCGCTTTACTCAGCAATGACACTTACGATGGTATTCCTCTCCTCCAGGACTTGGTCGTACTCGCTGAGGGAGGCCAGGAAGATGAGCGAAGTGACGTTCTCAAAGCAGTGGATCCATTTCCGACGCTCTGACTTCTGACCGCCTACATCCACGATCCTACGGGCGGGGCATGAGAGGACGAGAAAAAAAGTGAGGAAAATTCTTTTTAGATAACTGATTATTCAAGATGAGGAGGACAGAGTGCGGTGTTCCACCGCTATTTGCCCTCCCTTAAAATCCACAAGTGAATCCACAGTTAATGGCCTTCCACCTATGGCGGCAAAACACTACCAATATAGCTCCTCTACTCCATTAAACAAGGCACTTAAGCCACAAGATGCCACGAAATAAATAAGATGTTTTATACGTCTCCCCGCTCCAACGCACCTGATAAAAATGATCAGGTTCGTTATTCAGCTTCTGCAGAGTTTGAATTTGAATGACGTCTATTCAGCTTAATGCTAACAAGCAATGCAAAATACCATCGACAGGCTAACAAATAGCATCTGTGTCGTGCGCGTTAGAACCCTTGAAACAATGGCGATTTGAACACAAACTGTGGAGCAACATATATAGACAGACAACAAAACGGGTATATTCTTTGGCCTATGCGAAAAAATATCGATTCATATAACTGCGGCTTACTGAGTCAGTTGTGAAACTGTTCTTGTGTGTGTCTGCCCCCAGGTGGCCAAGGCTCACACACCAGACAAGGCCCAATAAATTCTTTACATTCTACCTCATTATGTTATTACTGTATGTTAATATAAATATAAAGTACCATATTATTGTGATCTTTTTCTTCTGTTAAAAAAAAGGGGGAGTGGCAGGGGGTTGGCTGGAATGGATTAATGTTATTCCCATTCATTTAAATGGAGAACAATTATTTGAGATATGAAATGTTTTGAGTTACGAACATTGTCATGGAATGAATTAAACTCGCATCTGTAATTGGATTGTTGCCAATGGGGAACTGTGGCTGCAAGGCACCTGAGCGTAATCTTGCTGATGGTGAAGGAGTAGTCGTGGATGCCCGTGGTGGGGAATCGGACCCTCAGCACGTCCTGTTCCGTGGGGATGTAGTCTGGCTCTGCGATGCGGTCCAATTGGTTCATGTAGCTGAAACCACACAGACAGACATTATAAAAAAAAAAAAAAATGCATCTGTAAAAACCAGGAAACTGCCTCCCTCCTGTGTGCAAAACAAACACCAGCGGCGGCGCATCCGTGATAAATTAGCCGTTATTAAAAAAGACAAGAAGAGACCCGAGGCACTGTGTACCGACGAGGTCTTTATGGCCTCTGTTTGAGGCACACACACGCTCACACTCACACTGCTCAGTAAACAGAGGAATACGGGAGACGAACTGTGACTTTGTGTTTGATCGACGTTTCCATTAGAAAAACCCCAAAGCCACTTCATCGGTCCGTATTACATTGTTTTCTTTTCATTAGAGACTGAACGTAGGCAGTGGGAATGAGTCTGGAAGGGAACCACTTTCCCTCTACCTGCTGGATTCTAAAATATGAACAGACAGGAACATGCTCCCGAGTTATTTATTTATTTTATGAGGTGACGAGTCAACGTCACGGTTGATAAGAAAATAAAACGAGATTTTCTGGAAGTTCCTCCTCAATGCAAGTTGAATAATCGAGTGGCACACAAGCAGAGAATATACGGGTGCATCCCAATGATTTGGAACAGGGACGTCAAACTCATTTTCGTCACGGGCCACATTGTAGTTATGGTTATAAATGTATGCGTCATTATCACATAAACACAAGAAATTGATGGAGACTCACCAGTGAGGATAAGCGGATTAAAAAAAATGGATGGATGGATGGATTGATTGGATAAAAAAAAATGCTCAACTATTTTTCTGCTATTTTCAAGGGCTATTGGGAACAAAAAAATGCTCCAGCTCCAAAAAGTAAAGACAATTTGCAATTTGGGTATTTGAGCAAGAAACATGAAGTCTTGACTTTGTAGACCACATGAAATTAAGTAGAGGGCCAAATTTGGCCCCCGGGCCTTGAGTTTGACAACAGCGATCTAGCCTACTGTGAATCCAGTGAGTTTATTTCAGTAGTTCAACTGAAAAAGTGAAACTCATGTAGACTCTTGAAAATATTTTTCAGAACGCCAATTCCTGTCATGTCATTTAAACATTTTGATTGTTGCTTATTTTTATTACTACTTTTTTATATCTTATTTTAAAAATCAATTCATTGCCAATCATTCTGGCAATGAATCGATGACTCATATAAAAAGATGTCAAATGACAGAGTTTTAATCCGCATCACTTTATTCAAAAACAAGACATTATTTATACTGCACTCACTACTCCGTGGAGTCCAGGAGCTGGTACTCGCAGCGTCGGCTGTAGCAGACCCGAATGCCGGAGTCGGCCCAGAGGCGGCGGATGGCGTCCACGTAATCTCGCTCCAGCTTGGTGATATGCAACGTGTTGACGTTCTCCACCTTACTGGCGTAGAACTGCGGGATGGTGTGGTTGAGAAGCACAGCGGTGGGAAGTACAAAAACAATGAACCCTCGCTATTCCTGCTGCCGCAAACACCGAAAATCACCCCTCAAAAAAAAAAAGTTTGCAATTGAAAAATTGCCATACTCCCGCTTGTTGTTAAGTGAATTGAGTTCACTGCCGCCGCACAAGGCTCATTGTAAAAGCAAAAGTTCAAAGCAAAAAAAATCGACCAAACAACGGCTCTTATCTTGAAAAACTTGTCATGCGGGTCGCTCTTATCTCAAGGCACGGTTGCATTTGCTTGACCCAAAGATAACACCAGACGATGCAAGCATACTGTTATTGCTTGAGCCCGGGTACTAAAACTGCAAATAGGTGAGTTTTCAGAAGACAAAAGAGGATAGTGTTCGGGAAAGAATCCTATAACTAAAATACATCATTATTTTTTCAACTGATTTACTGAAATATTTGTTCTTAATTTGAGTACCGGTATTTATTTTTCTGACAACTTTTTACTTCATCAGATTACATCAGGCTGGTTGCAACTGGCTGTGCTCAAAATTGACGTTTTTTTTGCATCTTCAGTATTTTGAGACCAGAGAGGGCCGGGTGGGCCTGCATGCAGCGAGTGTTTGTGTGTGTGATGATGAGTGTACCTCGTTATCTGGGTTGGAGTAGGGAATTTTGAGCGTGTTCATTGCTCCTGTCATGGCCTTGATGGCCGTGAAGATGTTCTGAAAGATGCATTTCGCAAATTCTTTCCTATCTTCCTCTGAGAAGCCCCGTCCGTGGATGATCCTCATCTGGCGGATGAAGGTGGTTTTGCCACTCTCGCCAGTTCCTGAGAAAGCAACCAAAAAAAAAAAAAGTCATAATATATTTTGTTTGCTAGTCCTAAACACAAGTATGAAGGAACTCTGAATTGCCCAAAGGTCTGAGTGTGTGCGTTCTGCTTAATCTCAGTTTGGGTCTTAATTAAAACTTTGATTTTTATTATTTTTTTTTTTTTACAAGACCATATGAAGAGCTATTAGAGGCAAATTAAAAAGAAAAAAAAATAATAATCTAATTCCAAGAATAATGTTGGATTTTTGCTGATAAATAGTTTGAGAAAAAATTAGTTTTTAAGTAAGAGGTAAAAAGTAATGGCTTAACTTTTACCTAGTTGAATTTTTATTTGAATCTCTCTAAACTCTGTCCTCAGAAAAAATGAATTTTCATTTTTTAAAAAACGGACAATTTTTTTGTCATATTAGGACTATTTTCCTTAAGAAAATACAACTTTTCTGCTCAGGAAACACAACTTCACTCTTGTAATGTTTCAACTTTTTAATTACATATATCAATATAGATCTACAAAAGTCTGAGCTTTTTCATTTCATCAAGACTTTTTTGTTTAAAAAAAATTACCGAACTAGTAATAAAATAGTTTTTTTAAATTACAGTCTGTTGAATGTAGTGCCATCTAGTGATGAACTAATAGATTGCAACGACCTCAGTTCTAAGCGTGTGCATTTTGAAACACGGGCACTACGGTGAATCGGAGAGACCACACTTCGCAAAACTACCAAAAATGTCTTCAGCAGAGGGGCAAACAAATGTTATCCCAAACGGCTTTTTTTACACATGCTTCAGACTTGATGTTGAGCAAATATGTTCGCTAAGTTTGCCCCGCCTTCGGGTATCCAAAGCAGAAAGATGGCGGCAACAACATGGCAGCCTCCGATAAGGAAGGCTCGCCGTATGTACGATACCGTAACGAGAAATTATTTCACCTACAGTTACATTTAAAAAATATGTTGATGTGAACGAACATAGTTTGTTTTACATATTATTGAAACGAATAGTGCTTTTTAAAAATATTGAATATTAAAATCGCAAATATATTTTTATATTCGTAGAATTGCAACATTAAAAACTTGCTAACAAAAACACACTTTATTGTCGTAAATATTACAACTGTTTCCTAAACTAACAACTTTTTAGCTTGGAAAATGTGACCTTTTTTTTATTATAATATTATGACTTCTTTTATTATATAAAAAAGGTTTGGGTTATAAGGTTACATTTTTCCCTTGCCCTACGACTCAAATCAATTTATAAAAAAAAAAAAAATGAAGGTTGTACCCAGTAGACCAATCCCTGTGAAAATTGGAATGTGATGTTGCATTTGTGCCAGGGTGTGTTACGTTTCCCGAAAACATCGTGTAGTGTGAATGTTATGTGTCAATTAACACCAGCTCGCCAAACGCGACATCACTATGATTCATTGTTGCGCACACATTACGAGCAAAACAAAGTTGGGCATCAATTTAAATCCTTTCGGTGTAAATAATATTGCAGATGAACAAGTCATACAAGTCGGACTGACATCATGCAAACCTTTGTCAAAAGCTGGCTGAGGTACGGTGGCCCTTAAAAGTAAAAAGACAAGACAAAACAAAACAAATGAAGATCTCTCAAGGTGCCCACTTAGCGTCAAGACGAATAAAATTCTGCTTTGTTAAACACAATGCCAAGCCTAAACAACCCGACATACATAACAAAACTAGCTATAGCACAGTGGCCCTTAAGGTTAAAACCAAAAACAAAAAATACAAGAACAAAAATTGACTGTTGTATTATACCCACGATGATGCTAAGGCTGAACAATCAATAATCAATTGGCGGAATTCTGTGTTGACAAGTAATAAAGTTGATTAGAGGAAATGTATTGGAGTAAAAAGTTTGATCTGAGTTGTGAAATCATTGTGGAACTTGAAGTGAAAGTTGCCAGAAATACAAATGACAAAATAAAAGACAGATTTACGAACGTTTTAAATTACAGTAACAAAGCAGTTGTACGCTGTTACATTGCAAGATTGGTTTAAAATCTTATTTTATAATAATAGTTGATGATATATGAATACATTAACTTCGTAATGTGATTTTTTTTTAGGAGCAAAGTGGGGGCGGGGGTGGCGTTGAAAATATGATTTTTGTGGGGAAAAAAGGGTTAAAGCCTTCAGTAAAACATTGCCTGTAAAGATAGTATGTTTTGTAATGCTGACCATGCAACAGATTAATTAGATGATCTGAAGTTGTGAATCATCAATGCACGATGCCCACTCATTTTGTATGACAGTATAACAGTAAACCTTATTAATCATTATAAGATCTAATCAACGTCACCGTTGATTCCATAATAGCGTTAAAGAGCAGGCCCGTCGTCGAACGCGCAGAATTTATGGCCAAGCGGGCAAACATGCGTCTGTTCATTTGTGCCTTATCTGCAGCCCTGCTGTCAAGCCAGCAGTCAATTTTGAAAAGAGGCCTGTAGGTTTGTGGGACTGTCCTCTCCAGTCTGGTGACTTTTACTTCACAAGCGATCGCAATCTGGACCATTCTTCACATACTGGCACGTGGGCACATGCTTGGCATACTTCCCGATCCTGTTGGGCCAGCAAACAGGCCGGTCTACGCAACCTACTGTAACTCAGGGGTGTCAAACTTGTTTTCGTCACAGGCCACATGGAGGCTGGTTAGAAAACAGCAGAAACTATGTGAACGGATCATTGCTAAAGGCGTTGTAACAGTAGGCCACAAAAAATCACAAGTGTAACTTGACCGCTGAGAATACTGACATGGAGCCCTACCGTGAAGAGCAAAAAAAAAAAACAAAAAGTAATTGATGACCCCCCCCCCCCCCTCAAAAAAAGTTTTTAACGTTTTAGGCCTGACCGATTATTTGGCGGGAGATTATGGCCCTTCTAGCAACGGCCAAAACATTTACAGAAGTTGTACACAAGTAACAATGGTCTCATTATCTAGTACACAAAAATTCTAGACAAACAATCTTGTGTCCTTAAATATATGTCATGGACTTTCTGGATAAGGTCATTCAATGGACCTGCCGCTCAAAACAAAGTGCATCTTAATTTTTACAAGCAATGCGCAGGTAAGCAATCCAAGTTATGCAAGGGATTGACCTGGATGTCACTATTTTACACATCAACAAAAGCCACAGTAAAAAAAAAAAAAAAAAAAAATTAAAAAAAACAAGACAAAATGTTAAATGTGACACGCAAACACTTCTTCATTATAACTTCATTCATGAAACGGGTTTTTTTTCTGCCACTGAATATTTGCGTTTCCATTGTGTTTATATATTTATTTTTAGGTCATTTTATTGTGAGTTCCATACAAAAAAAAAAGTATTTAATGAACAACTGGAAAAAGAACACAGAAAATTGTCACTCATTTTATGCAATTTTAAAGACCAATAAAGTCGCTGATGGTGTAGTGGTACTGACGTCCTACTCAGTGACAATATGAACGTGGCTGTGAATGGTTGTTTGTTTCTATGTGTGCCCTGCGACTGATTGGTGACCAGTTCAGGGTGCAGTCCGCCTTCCGCCCGGAGTCAGCCGGAATAGGCTCCAGCACCCTCAAGCGACCCTGTACATGACAAGCGGTGTTGAAAATGGATGGACGGATTGGTTTTCATGAACGATAATAATCTCGGTTCTATCAATTGTGACAAACCAGCTCGTTGAAGTTGGCGGGCACTCTGTGTTATCCGGCTTGAGTCCCAAATGTTGTAACCCGTACGGCAACTGTGTCATCGAGGTTTGTAACGAATTCCATTTGTGCCACTCAGCTTTCTACAATTGTACAACCACCGCCGTCGAAAAAGCTTTGAGTACGCTAATTCAGTCTTTCTCTCTGCTTCTCCGCTGTTCATACCAGCTATCTCCTTTTGTGTGTGTGTGTGTGTGTGTGTGTGTGTGTGTGTGTGTGTGTGTTTGGGGGGGGCAACAACTATTGAATGTCAGTTTCATTCATTTCAAGGGGAGGGAGATGATTTGAGATATGAGTGTTCTGAGATACAAGTATGGACGTGATGAACGAATTCAACTCTTATCTAAAGACGCCACTGTATTTTCCCATTCGCCAGGGCTTTGGCGCCATCATACAGATGAAAAGATGAATTTGGAAATAGCAAATGCGTGTTAGGATTACTCCGAAAGTTTGTATCATGCCCAGGGTGTACTGCGCTTTTTGCCCAAAGTCACCTGGGATAGGCCCAAACTCATCGGTCATCTGTAATGAGGAAAAGCACATTTGATTATCATTGTTACGTCTCGTTTCAAATGACGCAAGATTTTGCAGGCCACACGTTTTTTTTTTAACCTTCTAGGTCAAAAGTAACTCAAATTGTGGTGGATCCAAAAGGGACCAAACCAATGCTGCATACCCAGCACATTGCATTGAAACTAAAAACTACCCATACTGATAAGTTATAAGCTACCAAGAAATGGGTTACCAGGTTATTAGCGGAGTTGCGGTTAAAACAAAATGAATACAAACGTTATTACCAACATTTTCTCAGAAGAAGAAGTAGCGACTTTCCATTTTCAGGGAACGCCACAGCAAGTCGCTCACATGACACATTCAGCACAGTTTTCACACCAAATGCCCTTCTGACACAAAACAGCCATTTTCCATGGGTGGGCCTCCTGTCCCAACCGGGGTTGGCCACTGAGCCATTCAGTCACCGAAAACATTGTCTAAGAATGTTATGGAATAATGACTTCAAACTCAATACACAACCAAAATGGTGACCAGCTTCCAGCTGTTCAGCCCGCCCAAATCCAATCTTCAACCCACTCTGCAGGTTCAAAATAATTAACCCAACCATGGGTAAGTAACCCAATATGCACAAACACCACAGCTGCCCAGCAAGTGGGTTAGGAAAACAACGCGGCATTTTTCAGCGGGCATAAAATAATGTCAGTGGGCCACAGATTGACAGAAAAGGTGGTTGGCATCACTCACCCAACAGGAGAATTTTGACCTCCTGCCGCTCCATCCGCTTCTGCTTCTTGAGTTGCTTCTTGATCTCGTTGTCCACGGCAATGGACCTCTGCTCCTCCTCTGAGAGGCAGCACACGCAAGTGCGCCGGCAAAAATCCCAGTAGCCCGCCATGGCCCGAACACACCTGATATCAAATCACCGACATCGCGGCGTTAGTCACGGAAGTTTATTTGTACATATATACTGTAGATTTTTTTTCCCCATAGGATTTCATGCATATTCTATCAAACCTCTACTGACTGTATCATAATCCTTTTCATATGTGTGGCAAGGCCTCATCACAATAGGAACTGGTGTCAAGAAAGTATGTTGAAGTGACACATCTTGACAGAAGATATTTGGACGATGTGATGGAAGTAGCTAAATTTAGCCTGTGTTGTTTGTGGGAACTATCAAGAGTCTTTGGCCAAAATGACAACCATCTATAATCCATTTAGTTTCACGGGTAAAACGAATTTTAAATGACATCAAGGAGTTTTAGAATCATAATTTGTGGTGTATCGACATTTTCAACGATTCCTATAGGAGATTAAAGACATATTGGGAGGTGGGCGGGGCATCAATTACACATATTAGAGCTCTATCGCTATCTGCAGAGGTATTCATGCTCTTAATAGTGTAAATGGGCATTGACCACTGTCTAATAAACCTCAGCTAAAGTCAAATTTCTCATCCTTGGCCACTGAGACTTTATTCTTTCGGCTCCGTGCTACTTAAATTTGCATCTATTTGTTAGACTCAATTTTCTTGACTACACACCAAAAATACTGCCTTGTTGTGTTCTGTTCTTTTGCCCTCTTCTCAAATGGTCGCATCCCTTCCATTCTACATAATTCAGCTCCAATGAAACGTTACTGTTGTCCAAGTGCAGTTTCAATAAATATCCAACATGCATTAAATATCAATTCAAATAATTACACAAAGAGTGTATCAAACCTGCTTGTTACACAGCAAAACAGCTCCGGCATAAAAAGATAGAGTGCTACCATACTGACATAACATATGACCATAAAACTGTTAACACAGGCACAGCCGAAATATGTAAACAACAATAAAAAAATATCGACATCTTTCTGCAACGTGCTTTCTTAAGTTTTATTTTTGTCTGAAATTTGCACGTGTTTGAGCAGACGCAGTATGAAACTTTTTTTTTGTACACTTGAAATGAAAACATTGGTTTATTGTGAGGCCTGGTGTATTCTGGGTATTCTTCATCCCATGTTGGTGTATCTTCCACTTATTTGGTTATTCTTCATTGAAATTAATCACTTTGACAAGACCGTGCGAGCTCATGTAACTGCCTGGCTCGGTTTGATTGGTGAAATTACGTTGAGCGGCGCTCAAGCAGGAAACCAAGCAGGAAAACAACAGCAAAAAAATCGATCAATAGATAAAAATAAACGCAGCGAGCAGAAGAACTGAGCTGAAAGCAAAGGAGTAAAAGTATCATTTCTTCTTCATATAAATACTCAAGTAAAAGTTATATCTTGCATCAAATCTACTCTGGCGAGTAAAATTTATCCTCAAATTTACTTGAGTAAATGTAACAGAGTAAATGTAGCACGTTACGAACCACCGCTGGCGGGCAAACCTTGTGAGAGCTTCAGGCAGGACCTTGCCAAACGACCATCGTCACACATGCACTCCAAGATAGGAGTTACTGAATTTATATGTGGCAAAATGACACATGCTACACTACACAACACTGTGAATGAAGGTTAATAACTCAACACTTTCCCCCAGTTTTTTTTTTTTTGGCAGGGGGGGAGTTTAGGGGGTTATATTGTTTCCTTTTCAACTTACTGTAAGTATACGTTCCCTGATTCCAGAGTGTGTACTTTTATACATTTGCGCTGTAAAAGGAGCGGAATTGATGTTTTTTTTTTTTTTTTTTTTTTTTTTTACCAGGGTCATTCAAAACAAAACAAAACACAAGAATCTGCACTTCAGCAAAATCACAGAACGTGAGCAGGCCAACCTTTGCTACCTGTGAGTGTATACCTCTCTTATGAGAGTAAATGACGTAACTTTAACTAAAGTTAAAGCTTAAACGTCATGAACGAAACGAAAACAGTCCAGTTACCTTCAAGTGAGCTCAGTCCGTCACTGTCCCCGTACCGCCGCCCCCTTCACGCGGTCCATGTCCCGCCAGATGCCCGGTTGGATGCACCTGCGGACGAAGTGCGGCTGAAGAGGCCCAAAGGTGTCATTTATTTTGTCACGAACCAACCTGCTGCTCGGGTAAGTCCACCTCGCACCTCGCCTACGCAGGAATGTTCCGTGTCCACGCTCCGCGTTGCGATTGGAATGCGCTCGAGGCGACGGCGCGGCAAGAGCGCGACAGGAACGCGGCAAGGCGACCGCAGCGACGCCGGAAAAGACGCGACGGAGGTGGGAAACCTTCAAAATAACAGTATCGTTGAAACGGGACATTTCATCCATTTATCCATTATCCGAGCCGCTTATACAGAGATGGCTCAAGTACTCCCTCTGTACTAAGGTCGAAATTAGATACATTTATTACAAAATGACTCCCTTACAAGCAGTTCTGATTCGAGTCCTGTCTAATGCGAGGCAAGGCAGCTTTATTTATATAGCGCATTTCATCATCACGCAGTGCTGAACTGGCGAAGATTTGAAATGTACTTACTCAGTGGGACGTCTGAGCCCGTTTAGTTGAGCACAAAATTGCGATTCTATTAAACTCAAAATGTCAAAAGGTGGAGAAACACATTAATTGTACCTTTTGCCATCACGGGGAAGAGCATTGCATTGCTCTGCCTGCCGCTATATATCGCCGGCATAGATAGATGAGCAACAATCAATTATTTTTAATAAATAAATGAGAGTATTAGGACCAATTATGCGCAGCAACTCCCAACAGCACATCTAATGATCTCTCATAGTATCATTTGCCCGCCTTTCTGGGACAAGTAGTATAAAAAAAATGCATGGAATGATGTTCCTGCATGGCCATTTCAGAATTCTGCATCCATATAAAAATGGCAGAAAAATCACTGATAACAAAAATTTCACCAAGGTGTGGTGGTGGCCACAAAGTGACAAGTGGTGGCCATGGACACCCCTGGCTATCCCGTAGCTCCGCCACTGGTGACATACTGTATAGACAAACAATTAAACTACTATGCGTGCTTTTAGAATGTGGGAGGAGGAACATGTGTAACAAAGTACTGTACCGTATATTATAAAACTCACACACCAGAAATCTTATCACGTGTCTTCTGTCATCATTCTTTGTTACATGCCTTTTGAATGAGGTTGCGACTGCTGGGAAGTCGAGACTCTTCTCTGCAGTTTCAAAATAACGTATGAGGAAAAAGATATGAGGAATGAACAGGTTTATTTTTAAAAATCCCCTTTTAAATTGTGTTCCAGCTATTGCTTAAGGGAAAGTTCTATCATATTGACCCAATACTAGGCAACGTGCGTTGACTCCTGGCCCACTTGAAATTTCAAGGTTTTGTTACTTATCATATTTATATACTCCTGTATTTAGTTGAACTACTTCTTGGCCTGTTTGACTGCCGCTTCTGTTCTCTCTCTCCTCCTCCCTCTTTTCGGCTTGGCGAGGGGATTAGGTGACGATGACCAAATTGGATTCAGCAGCAATTGACCAGTACAAGATCGGAGGCTGACCACATCCTCAAAGGAGCTGTTAAGAAGAATTCTGCATTGGCCAACTGGGCCGGGACCCACTTCAGGTTATTTCAACTAACATCCTAGACCATCATATGTGTAAAATCTACCTCACTCTGCATCCATTGTGGCCTGGTCATCCCGGAAAGGGAATTCCCCCATCTGCGGCCACTTCCCAAGGTTTCTAAGGTTTCCACGGATGTTTTTTTTTCTTGCCCTCGTGGGGGTTAAGGGGATGTCATTAATATGTGAGATCTGAGGTCATGTAATGCCCTTTGAGGCCTTTCTCTGATTTAGGGCTGTATAATTAAATTTGACTTAACTTGACTTAAGGTGTTATAGCATCGCAATGTAGGCGTTACTTAGCATTAGCATTGAGCAAGTAGACTGAAAGAAAAAGCTATGTATGTTTTTTTTTTAATATGCATCGTGTAACTCTCTTTATTTTATGTTTAGTTTGGCATTCAACACCCGGAAGCCTTTTTTTTTTTTTTTTTAAGAAGTGTCGACTATTTCATAAAGTGTTGCTGATCATGAAGTCAGCCGAGTTTTTTTTTTTTTTTTTTTTTTTTTTTTTTAAACAAACAGTTTGAAAGGCGAGTCACTCCTATCTCAATGCATTACAGTACATTATTTCAGTCACTTTTTTCAAATGTCTCATTTAGGCCTTGAAAAAAAAAAATGTTGAGGAAACCCTGTGAACTCAACTAAGCGCCCGTGCAGAAATCATGATGAAATCTGGGACTCTGTTTATTTTGTGAGTCATCTGGTACAATGTTTTGAGAGCAATACAGGCAAGCATTTTGTCACTCCTCCCTCCTCACAATGCTGGTCTGCTTATTTGGATGTCAATCTTTTGTCTTCTTTGTCCCTGCAAGACCGGTCTGTCCGGGCCTTTGTAGACTCACATATACGGAGATCACCTAAGCTCTCGGTTGCTATGGAAATGATGTGAGGTAAACATGTAAGAAAGTAAGTAAAAGATAGTCCAGTGCATCCAACTGGAACACACAACAGATTGAATTTCTTCACAAAACTGTGATACACTCACCAAGGCCTAAGGGATCCATCCTGGCACATAACTCATCTGTACAATATTGAAATAGATGATTATATTCCTTAATGTGAGGACAATTGATGTTTGAAACGAAGTACACATCCCGGAATAGGAGGGTGCGGCTTTCATTGAACTGTGAAAAAGCGCAAAGTGGAAAAAGGGAAGGAAAATGCAATGGGGAATTACAACACAGTGAGTGGGTGTGGGTTCCACTATGGGAGGAAATGATCCGCCTCATCCTCCCAGCATGCATTGGGGCGGTCGGTGTCTCGCGTTCTTCCTCCGATGTGATTCAGGAGCCTCTCCTGCCTTATCGTTCTCCGATGAATCTTTACAGCTGTCCCACAGTGGCTGGCGGTAATAAGAGTGTTTAAGAGAGGAGACTTTGTCCCCTGTGGGCTGGCTGCTGTGGGAAACGGGCCGTGATCAATGATTAAACCGAATGGACTGATAAAATAAAACATCATACGCTCCGCTGGGGCATAATTATTTTAAGATTGCATCCTTTTGATTTGACACAGTTGAAGTTGCGACGATTGAGACAGCTCGGTTCCGAAATATTTGCACAGTGAGAATGGGTTTGCGTCGCTTCAATTTAAGGGCATTTGATACATGGCTACGATACGATATGAGGAACATCAAACTGATTTATAGAGATTTATAACTTTTTTCTTTATAACAGGTTCAAGCTATATTGAGACCGATTTGTTACTTTGTATACCAGTGTACATACATTATACATATATGTACATTGCAAAGTGTAACAATTCGATCGAGTTTGTTTCAATCCAAATCAATTTTCTGATTCAAATCCCTTTTCGTTACACTCGTGGCTTTGGTGACTTTCACCTTTATATACCACAATTGATTTAAAGAAAAAAAAAAGGAAAGTATTTTACTTGTACAAAAATAGTTTGGACTCTCCATGCCTGCCAATTGTGAAAAGTGTGAAATTAAACTAAACAAGTAAATCGTATGTTGTTGGCCTATTTCTGAAAAATGGCTAAATAGCTCAAACTGGCCAATTTCACTATGGCAAGAAACAGGTTGTAAAAATACCGACACTACTTCCAAAATCTTAGCGATATTGGTCTTATGGGTTAAATAACAAGATGAACCTAAAATCCAATGTAACAATTACAGGTGAACTGAATTTGACCTTCTCAAAAGTTCAATGCACACCGGGCAGAGTGCAGACGAAGGTTTTCCCGACTTTATGCCCATTAACTCCACTCAGCTTCCCCTTCATTATACCTCTTCATAAACAATCCGCCCCGTCTGTCCCACCCATTGAACTAAGGTATTAAGTGTTTTGTTCTTTGTGTTCTGCTGCCGACATAACACAATGAAGAAAACAAAACATTTTGCAAGTTAGTGTCGCCCATCCCCGTGGGACATACTCCAGTTGAGAGTGTCGTGTCAAAATATCGCTTATGTGTCTGGTAGAGGGTATTTGCTTCCTATGTGGTAATAATCAAACTAATTTATTCGGACAAAGTTGTCTTTGAGGGGCCATTGAAAATGCCCAAATGACACAATAATGGCCGCTTGACTTCCCGGTACTTCTGACATTTTGTCAGAAAAAAATGGAACCAAATGTATATTTTTTCACCAGATCAAATACATTTTATTTAAATTGTGCCATTTCTCAAAAGAAGTTATCACAAGGCACTTTATGCATTTAGAGGTCAAGAACCACACTCCTCATAGTTTTTATATGAATATAAGAAAAACAAGTGAACCCCGCATGAGCAAGCACTGTACAATGAAAGCAAGCAAAAACTCTGTGGAAGGAAGAAAGCTTGACTTGAACTCAAGCTGTGTGGAGCCGGCCGTCTGCTTCTACTGGTTCGGTTGAGATGGAGAGACACAATGGAGGGGCAGAGGGGAGAGAGAAAATAATATACCGTTGAGGAGTACAGTGACCAGGGAAAGGATGAGAGAACAACGGGCACAAAAGCCGTGTTAACCATGCCCCTTTTTAACACAATATCCTTTTTGTGCCATTTTTGTTTGGTCGTGTTCCGTGACAATTTTCTAGTGTAAAATATGTGCTCAATGTCTGTTTGAACCAACAGAGTAGACACTACAGGGTGTATTTTTTATAGATTATTTTCACCACTGTTATCGTGAAGCTAAGTGAAATTAAATGGGTGTAATGACGTTTTCAGAGTGATGTGCATTACGGAGGAGTCTCAGGAAAAAAAAAACCTTGAAAGCGAGACTGAGTATGTGACGTCATGGAAGGTGCGTCTGGGTGTCCGAATTGCACTTTTGACAAATAGCCACAAGGTGTCACTTGGGATCAACAATAGAATCTGTCTGGCGGTCTGTTTTAGCTCTATAAAGCCAGGTGTGGCCTTCAAGGACAGTCTGAACTCATCGGCTTTCTTACATAACTGAGCAGCTGTTGCAAATGTCTATAGGTATTTAAATCATCTATCTATCTATCTATCTATCTATCTATCTATCTATCTATCTATCTATCTATCTATCTATATCTGTCTATCTATCGATCTATCTGGATAAAGTCAGGCGATGTGTTGCCTTCAGGGACAGCCTAATATCAAAGCTTTCTTTCTTTGCACAATTGCGCATTTGTTACAAATGTCGTTCAATGTTAGGTTAAATGACCTCTTTTTATATTTTCACAAACACTGATTGTGTTGTATTCGGTTTAAGTTCTTTTCTGCAATTATGTCTCATTGAAGCATAGTTGTTGCCCAAATTGGGCATTCTAAAAAACAGACTAACATTTAAATATTTGTGTATCGTGAAAAAGTGTCAGCAAGGGCTTTTACTTACTTTACATTGTTTTTTTTTTTCCTCTTAGTCTTAGTTTGACTTTAGTACCTCAACACTTTGTTTTCATTAAAGCTTAACCCAAAACCAGTTCGAACTGAACTGAAGTTGCATGGATGTCAGTTTACTCAGCATTGTGTCATCTGGTTTCTCACCTGCTACATTAGAATAGCAAACATGACGCCTTTTTGTATTTATTTATTACAACGTCACATTTACTGGAAAGGTGAGACACCTTGCCCCAGTCTTGTCATTTGTCACTAAAATAAAGAAAAGCTACTTCAAATATTGACACTGGAAGTCATGTTACCTGTGTAACCAAATGTTCAGTGGAACATCCCAAAGTCGAACACAATCAACGGTGGTTTCAAGTTGTTCGAATGACAAGTGATTTTCCCCATACCATATAATGTTCAGTACATTAATTTCATCTCAGGCGTGTGTGTGTGTGTGTGGGGGGGGGGGGGCTCATAGCCAGCAGTCATCTCTGCTTCCCTAAGCATCATAAGCATTGACTGAAGAACTGACTTATTTCTAACCTAAATCATCTATTTTTTCATGAAATTGTACTGAGGGCGGCACGGTGGTCGACTGGTAAACACACAGGTCTATGGAACACTCTAAATTGTCCCTTGGGGTGATTGTGAGTGCGGATTGTTGTTCGTCTATTCTATGTGTGCCCTGCGAGTGACTGGCAACCACTTCAGGGTGTACCCCACTTACTGCCCAAAGACAGCTGGGATAGGCTCCACCACGCCCGCGACCCTTGTGAGGAAAAGAGGATTAGAAGATGGATGAATGGATGAAATTGTTCTGGTGCATTCCCAACAGTCCATTCTCTTCATTTCGTAGCATTTCTCTTGGTTGCACTGCTTCCAGTATGTGGATGAGCAGGTTAGATTTCAGCATCACTGTGCTGAAATATCAGTCGAATCTGCACAGGGCCTTCAGAATCGGTAGTGCTGGCTGATGCAATTAACTATACTGTCCTATTTCATCAACTGGGATCGTCTTTAACCATTCAGATTTCAAATTTGTCCTCATGGCCGTGAAAGATGTCGACATTTTCAGTCCTCTCGAAGTTGAATGAGAACTACACCAGATGGTGTATGCGGCACAGTTGCATGCTGTTGTGTTGAATTTTTGTATTATGAAATGGCTTGGAATTGTGACATGATCGGACCTATTTCAAGGCACCACTGTATGTCTTTAACCCTCCTGATTTGTCACAGGTCAAACTGACCCATTTTGATCCTGACATGTACTGCACTAAATATTTATGAAATTATTCCGAATCATTTTACTAATGGCTATATAAACATTATTTAGAGGATTTTTTTTATTCCTCTCTGACACTTGGAATAATTAGACATTCCACAAGTCAGACTGACTGACTGAAGTCTGGACTGTTTGCCAGACAATTACTGGACAAACAAAGGTAAACTAGCATTCACGCTTAAGGACAATTTGGAGTCTTCCTTTAACCTTCCATGCATGTTTTTTAATTTTGGAATTTGGAGGAAGCACTCGGTGAAAACACGCACATGCACAGTACATGCAAACATGCAAACTCCACAAACCGAGATAAGAACCCAGAATCTCATAACTGTGAGGCAAACGTGCTAACACTAATGTGTACAACGATTTCAATTAAGGCGATGTTGTCAGGCTTAAGTGTAATCATCCAGAAGAAGCAGCTAAGTGAGAGCAGAGTGTGCCCGGAGGCTGACACGCCTCCAAAAAGGAAGGAAGGAAAGGGAAGAAGGAAAGGGAGGAAGGCGTCTTCTCACACAACCTTGCAACATTGTGATCTTAACCCAAATTGAAGTCCCGCCTTCGCTCTCTGTATATGCTTATCTCCATTCGCGCAGCGGTCTGTCAGTCAATTAAATAGCTCGTGACATCACTGAACGAGGAGTGGATGACGAGGAGGGGCGATATTCCAACCAGGAAAAAAAAAGCTCCACCAGGAACGATGAATTACCCAATTTGACTGTCAATATTCAACACTTTGCGGGCTTTTTGGCCCCCGGAGAGAGCGTTTGGACAAAGCGCGCTTCCAAGCGATGAAGTTCCTCCCGGCAGTTTGTTCTTTTTTTTCGCTACAATTCCCGGGATGGCTAGCTCAAGCTAACGTTGCTCGCTAACTGCTTAGCTCGTCTATTTAGCCATCCATACCCCCCATAACTTAGCCCATTATCATTTTTTAAAGTGGGGAATTCTTGTTTTTTTTGTTTGTTTATGTGCAACTCGAGTGTTTGGCTTCGGGAGCTCGACGACGTGAGTGTGCGGTAGATGGACGGGCTGACGGGAGGCGGTTGCTACCTCTGCGCGGGCGTGAAGCGTCGGGGTCTGGGCGGCTAGGCTTGCGGGAGGGCTCCGACAAATGTGGCAGGGGCGGTCAGCACTGTCCCGCTGTCTCCGGGACACGAGTGTTTATTAAAACCAGGCTTTTTTGGGGTGTGTGTGTGCGTGTTTAAGTCGTTCAGCTTCCACGATTGAGCAGCGGTGCTGGGAACGATTAAAAAGGTGTTGGCACACTGGAAAAATCTTTTTTTAAACACACCCCCATGTTTAGCTCGTTGCTTCTAGTATTTATTTATTTTTTTTACAAATGAAATGGTCTTGTACACCATTTAAAACATCGCTTTCCCCTCGTATTCTTCCGACAAGTCTTTTTTTCTTGCAAACTGCGAATTTGCATACGACTTAAGTCTTAAGCTGTCAAATATTTGTCACCGGCAACGAGCAAAGAAAGTAGCAAGATCCCATTCGACCGAACGGGATTCCATTGACTTGAGCTTGGAGAGCCATTCCGGAGCCCGGCGCGACCCTCCCCCCCTCCCCCCTTCGTCTGTCAGGCAGGGCTTTTCTGGCTCATGCGGTGATGACTCTTGACTCCATGATGGCTTGTTGCCTGAGCGAAGAGGCGAAGGAGTCCAAACGGATCAACTCTGAGATCGAGAAGCAACTGCGGCGGGACAAACGGGACGCCAGGAGGGAGCTGAAGCTGCTATTGTTGGGTAAGCATAATCATCCTCCACCTCGTAACAGAGGATCCAAAATGGTCAGTTTTCATGTCATGTCGTGTCAGTACACCTTGTGGTATGCAAAACATTGCATCCACTTGCCAAATTGTCATTATTCCGACTGGCTTGTGAATATGCAAATCTGTGGCATATTGTGATCTGGATGACCCCACATGTCATCAACTAGTTGATACAGTTGATAAGAAGACATTTTGTGGTCTCTCTCGCCATTTTAAGTGAACTGTTCCAGTGTGCGACGTGTTCAGTAATTTGTCCTCCTTTCTTTTCCGTGGCTGCTAGAAAATTGCCCTAGTTTCTACAATAAACAAAGTACTGTAGTTACTGTCTTGTACACTAAAGGAAACAGGAGTTCAGGCCAGGATCGTTCAGACCCAGGTCACTATGATCTTTTTCGCAAAACAGAAATGGAAGTAGTGTTTGTGGTTCAAATTTGGTTGTTTGAGGTATCACCTCTGTTAATGGTCCATATTCTGCAAATCAAAATGTATATACTTTAACGTTATGGTTTTATAGGTTAAGTTTATGATAAAATGAAGGCAAATTGCCTATGCTTTAATATGAAAGGCATTTTGTTTATCTACCTCATGGTAGAAGAGTTTTTAACTTTCGAAATACTTTGACTTGCAATCTTTAAGCGTTCACTATGGCAACTTCAGAAAATTCCACCCAAAAAGTGGAATTAAACTGAATCATAAATCAAATTCTGCCAGTAATGCAAATAAATCTGTGGCTTTTCCATTTCAATTTTTCCATGTTTCATGAAACAGAGATATAAAGATGTGGACTGCTCTTCTTAAGCACTGAATTTATCTAAAAAAATAACCTGTTACGGCTAACTTTGTCTTGCAAAAAATGTTCTCGCGATCAGCGTGTATTATATTGGTATAATTTATTTGCGTTTTCAATGTTTTTGCCACGTTATTAGATAAAGGTTCATTGTGAACCGCTCCAAATAACCATGTCACAGTTGGTTGCTGTTGTATTTTGTTTTTGTATAGTGTTGTTGATTTCTGTAATTGTGATGTGTTATTGGTGGTCTTAAAAAGTGTATTACCGTATTTTTTGGGACTATAAATCGCTGCGTAGCACCAGTCAAAAAATGTAGAAGAAAAAAAATGTCCATTGTCATAGTTGGTACACGTGTTCGGTGTTTATCGTAATTTGCGTTGAATTATTGCCAACTTCTGGTCTGACGTGCATTTACGAGGATTGTAATCATTTTGCGGATTGTTTTCGCAGGATATTTTGAAATCTTTTATGGTGTGTATTATTAAAAGAGAAACAACCTTCCTGTATTCTCCTTGATATTTAATGGAGAAAAAAGATCATTGTAAGGCTTGAAAAGGTTGTTGGGGGGGGGGGGATTATCTGCTTGACTGTGACAGACAGGCCCTCAATGAGGTGACCCACAGTACACATTTTGTTTCTATATTCCGAATGTGATGACGAGTCATCTGGCAAATTGAAGGAAGCACATGAAGCCCTCTGAGTCCTGAGCCTCTTAATCCAGATACCATCTTGGATTAAAACTCCAGTGCCGACACTTTGTTCTCAATGAAATGGCATTCCACCGCTCACGTGTGTAATACCAAGAAGCATTTGAATTGCCTGTAGCTTTACTCATTTCATCATTGAATATAAGGTCAGTCTGAGCAGTAAAATCTGCACGAGTTGGCTGGGTGGGTAAAAGAGGAAAAAGTACAAAGTGTCACCCTGTCTCCTTTGAACTGTAAACGTATCAGTATGTGCAGACGCTAATGAAACAAGTCACACTTCGTAGCCTTCAATTAGCAGTCATTTTGTCTCGTTAAATTTGAAGGAACAAAGCCTGGCGTAGTTGCAAGTTGCAACCAGGTGGTCATGCAGAGGATGCGACAAGCCTCTCACACAGAGAGCCCGCAAAAATTGCTGCATCAGGCATCACATTTGAAGAGCCAATATTTCCCATAATGTCCCATAATTCCTGTACACACTGGCCGCATCATGCCTTAAATACGACGCACCAATACAGGGCACCCTCAATTTTCGGCGGACCCAACATACGAAGTTTCCGAGTCATTCGCACAAGAAGTGATGCTCATTGTCACACTTACTGTTTTTCATTCCGTTGCTCTAATAATGAGTTTACTACTGTGTTAACTAAGGATGGTCAAGACCATTTTTTTACTCCCCAAACCGATACCAGTATGAATACTCGACTCTTGAGTGCTACCAACACCAAGTTAACAAGTGCGCTTGAACGCGGTCCCAGCCAGAATTCTGTCAAAAGTCTACACGATCACCCAAACACTTCATTTTGGCATGTCACGATGACATGTCCATCTTAGGTTAGCTCAGCCGTTAGCATGTCTTCTCCATCTTCCCTGGTCATCCCATTCATGCGAACAACACTTTTCATAATTGGAATTCATTCACTATAACTGATGCCTTGATTACCAACTCAGCAATGTGTTAAGATGCACTAGTAGCCAGCCGGAGCTTGTTGCGAGCTACCTGGTGCGGCGTAAGTAGTACCATATTTGCCTCGACCTCCGGCTGTTGATGTGAGTGACGCGCGTGCGACCAGACCAGCAAAGCTTTTGATTTTACCGTCTCGGCGGTTAAATCTCAGTTTTGCAATTTCATGTTGTGATGAGGCGCAAACTCTACCTCACAAACTGCATTTCAAAACTGCTTATTTCGAGCCTTGTTTACAGATTGGTCAATAAATTCTGGACCATGGGAGCTGTTCAGAACTTAGCTCTAAAGCTGAAGGGTTCAGACACTGATTCATTTTTGGAGGGGTTTGGGTGGCTCAGAATGGCGACGCTGTCACCGACTCAGTTGCTCGCAGTCCCTAAATCAATCCAGAAATGCAGCTAGGAATGAGATAGTCCCCAGTTATCACTGACGTGGATTTTGATCATAGTGCCCTTAAAATTCAGATCCAAACAGAAGCTTACCCAGGTAATAGGGACCAAAGAGTTGCCGTGTGAAATTGGTTTTGTGGGGGAAAAAAAGAAATGCAAAATTTTTCTCGGTGGTTTGTGCTTCTCATACCAGTCTTGCTTTCTTTTCTATGGCCATGTGAACAGAGAAAAAAAATTTTTTTTTTTTTTCTTTCTGGGAGGAGAGCACGACCAAAGGTGGTTCTGCAGCAAGGGAGGAGCGTGTCCGTGTCATTGACAAAATAAGGCGCAGACTGGAAGGTGGACATTTGGAGCACATTTGGGAAGGTTGATTAAAGTCTATACCACATGAAATAAAGAGTTTAAATTTTGAGGATTGACATGTTATCAAATTAATTTGTTTAATAAATCAATTCTTGGCACTTATATTGGGTGCAGTCATTTTGGGTCACCCTGTAAGAGGGTGATTATGTCGTTTGTCACTTTAAGATCATCAAAATTAAGAGAATATTTCTTGTCTTCAACAGTGGGTAAATTCTTTTTACTTGTAAGAATATACCGGTAATCAAAGTCACCTGCTGTATCCGCCCATTATGATGCAAATGAGGCCTTCAACATTTTTATTTGAAGTTGTGTTATTTTGTTGTCACTAATTGAAGATGTTAGCACTTTTTGGAGTGTTAAAACTGTTGCGTAATTTGTTTCTTAAAGTATTTTGGTGGCCACCAGATATTTCCACTTCTCAAATGTGCGTAAAATGAAAGTCAAATGGCATCTCGATCACTTTCACGTTTTAATAATTGCAGCCCATTCATGAAAAATCGAGCGCCTTAGCTATCAGGCTTTGCCTAAAATTGTCTTGAGTGCTGTAGACAAAATGATGTCACCGAAGAGCAGACCAGCAATGAACCGATGGGGAAAGAAAACATTGACTGGCGTCATTAATTAAAAGGCAAAGTGTGCCTTTTAACATTTATATTTCACACAGTGTATTCATACCGAGACTGAGCATCTGTCATGCACATTGTGCAGCTCAAACAGGTTGGTACATCTGGGTTAATGAGTGTTTGTTTTTAGGCAACACCCAAGTATGTTGCATGAATGGAGCCAGCCTATGGCCATTATAGTCCTAAATCTTCCAGTAAGCCCAGGACGTATGCCCTATTTGTTTGATGGCTTGGAATATCGGTAGCTGCTCAAGTTAACACAAACCTCTAAGGCGCAGCGCACTTGTTCAGCAGGGTGAAATGACCCCCAAAAGATTTTTGAGCGGTGGGTTTCATGTACGGGTTATTTGGTGCCACGTGCTCTGTTTGCATTCCCAAAGGTCGGGGCCACTCGTGAAAAATGTCGTTTCACAGCGTGGTAATAAGGCATGTGTTTGTAGTCGTGCACTATTTGTCTGGCAGCTCTGTTGGTTGAGCAAACCCATATTGACACACCCTGACTTTCAGCAGATATGTGTTAGACTTTGGGATGGGTACTGAGCCCCGGTGGTAAACTAGCCCCAGGACTGTCTTTATAAAAAACTACTCTGTCGATGATCTCCACCCTTAACGGTTCCGTAAACGGTCTTGGAGAAATTACACAAATTCATTTTTGATTGATTTAGGCGATATGAATGTGATTTTGGACCCTCTATCTCTCTGATGTCGTTTCGAACTACCGATGAAATTAATATGTTGGTCTCAAGGTGCCTGTTCACAATCGGAGGTGAACAGTCTAGCGCCAACTGTTCATTAATTCCCTTCACCATGTCTCATGCCCCAGTTCCAGCTCTTGGAAAAACAGCCCCCTCGAGTGTGATGGATCCACTGTCATACTTGACTGTAGGTTTGGTGTTCTTTTGGGGTTGAGTTAATGTTTGCGCCAAATGTACCGTTTGGAATTACCGCCAAAATGTTGAACCTTTGGTTCAATGCATTGTAACGAATAGTCCAAAACCTGTGACATACTATGCATGTTCGAGAAAGAAAAATAATACCGAACCGCTAAGATCTATTTTGGTTTCATCAAAAGCGGGAGTTTTTGTATGCGCTGCCTCTCATTCAACATGGGTTTGTAAGAGGGTGTGCACACTTGTGC